TGAGTAAATGTAATTCGTTAATTTCCACCCCTGGCTTTCCTATTTGTTTTGTTCTATTTGTGAGTAAATCAAACTCTTCATGTGATTCATTTCAAGATTCACGAAACATTAAAATCCAAACAGATTAAACAGAAGCAGCTCGTTAACACCAGCTGTTCATTCATGTTGATCACCTACATTCACAGCCCGATCCCGCCATCAGCAGCTTCCCCCTCGGCGAGGAGCGTCTGACCGCCTTCACCACCTCCACACGCTCCTCCTCTGTCAGGTAGGGATACTCACCATTGGAGCCCTGAACCACCAGACCTGCAGAGACGGAACACATTTGTTTCAGTGTCGTTCTGTGGTTTAAACGTCCGTCTGGGTCTTTACTAAAACCCTTCTTAGAAACAGTCCAACTATGCAGCAGCAATGCATGAAGACAAACCGTGTGGTTTAAAATGTTTCTAAAACAAAAAAGTAATTATGAACCTACATAGATTCCACTGTGGTCATAATTGTCAGAAACAGCTACCTGCTGCACATAAGCTTTTTATTAAGCCTTTTAAAGCACAGATTATGCCAGAGGTGATAGAAATATGACCTGTGTCCCAGAAGGAAAGCCATTTTTTTTCCTATCTTTCTTCAAACTTCCCTTTACTGTCGGGATCAATAAGCAACAGAAAGCGGAAGTGAAATCAATCCATATATATATATATATATATATATATATATATATATATATATATATATATATATATATACGTATTTACAGTTGATCAGACATATCACACCATTGCAGAGTTAACAGTGCAGGTGGGAGCACAAACACAAAGCGTCAAGGAGTTGTCTGTAGACAGGATTGTCTAATGAGCAACAAATCTAGGGAAGGATACAGAAACAAACATCTGGCTATGAAAGTCCCAGTGATAACAATAGCTCCATAATTTATGAAAGGAAAATGTTTTAAATAACTAGTACTCTTCCTCCAGGCCTCCAGAGCCTCCAGGCCATGTAAACTGAGCAGTTAGGGAGAAAAGGGCCTTAGTAAGGTGACCAAGAACCCCACGGTCACTTTTTAAGAGCTCCAGCTTTAGGCCCTGGAAAACAGAATACCTTGCAGGAAAACAATCTCTATAGCAATTCACCAATCACTCGTGTATGGTGGAACGGCCAGACGAAAGCCACTCCTTAATAAAAGGCATATGGAAGCCCATTGAGATTTTAAAAAAGGCACCTGGAGGACTCTCGGATGATGTCAACAAAATGATCTAATTATCTGTCTGGGCTGATGAAACAAAGATTAAACTGTTTGCGGTTTCCAGGCATCACAAAGTGTGGCAGCATCATTCTCTGGGGATGTTTTTCAGCAGGAAGATTTGGAAAACTGGTCAGGATAGAGGAAAAGATCAATGCAGCGATGCACACAGAAATTAGGATGAAAACCTGCTCCAGAGCAATCAGAATCAGCAAATGCTTCAGTGCTTTGGATGTATGAGGACATTTTTTGGTAATAAACATAAACAAAAAATATATATATATAAATACTATATGTAAGCATAAAAACCATGCATATACACATGTGCAGAGATGACTGTTATTTGGGGGAGGGGAGCACGATCTCAAAGAAGTGGCTTTAGAAACACTTCTGGGGTGTCCAAACCAGAGTCCAGATGTTTCCTGTCCAACCTGATGGAACTTGATATATAAAAAGAAGAAAGTCACAAACTGGCTTAAGGTGGGTAAGCCAAGTTTTTGGCATAATATCTGAAAATATTTTAGGGTGTAATTGCTGCCAATGGTAGATTAAATGTTATATTTTTCGTTTTTATATTTTTATAAGTTTGCAACCAATCTCAAAATTGTTTTTCATACTGCCATCATGGCAGTTGGTAGAATTATGAGGACAGAAATGAGGCCAAATAAGGCTGTAATATAAATAAAGGTGGAAAAAATGCAACACTGTGAATTCAAGCATCATTTAGGATAAATTACTTATAACCCCCTGCTAAAAATAAAATAAACAATGCACCTCCTCTGCCCAGTTTATGTATTTTTAACTTATTATTGAAATAAAAAAAGTTTGAATTAATTTAAAACTATTAAATCTATCAACATGTGGCCCCTGAATCTGTCATTCTTCTCTATGAAAGACCGGTATGATGTTAGCAAAGCTCTTCTTGTTTCTCTGCAGGTTGGAGGGGGTCAGCTCGGGTTCAGCCACTTTGACATCCAAGCTTCTGATGTTTGTGTCGCCTTTGTTTTCTGCTATGATGTGGGAATGAAACAGCGACCCCACTGTTTGACAGCTGGTTTCTATGGATCACGGGACACATCACATCACTGCCTACTGCTGCTGTATATATGCAAGAATGCGTGCATGTATAGATGGATGTATTATCTAGATAGAAATGAACTATCCATCTATTTGAGACTGCTGTTGATCTAATGGTTTTAATATGTAAAAATCATTAAACTGGTTCAGTGTTAAGTAAATATGAGCCTAATCCTCCTATCCTGTCATGTAATCATCTGAGAAAATATCTCCAAGCTGAAATGATATCCTCTGGGTTTAATGGAATGAAAATCCTATTATCTTTTCACAGGCCCCCGTCTCTCCATCCTCACAACATCCTTTTCTGTGCTTCATACACAAAGTGAACACTGTGGTGAAATCTAATCGCCATATGTTACAAATGAGTCATCCTCATGACTGGAGAGGCATCGGACATCAGATAAAATGGTGAAATAATAAATGCACTAGAGATTACAAGCATTTCACTTAGCAAACTGGAATATGTGGTGAGTTACAGTCAAGGTTTCCAAAGGAATACAGTGATGTGACAATGATTATGATGAATTACAGGCTCATCATTACTGACATTGTATGTAGAGAGTTCATTATTGTGAAATAAATTTATTGGTAAAAGAGTAGAATTTAATTTGGTGTCATCATCTAGTGGTCAAAGTCAGAAATGTCAACAACCACTATGTATTGCAGATAAATTCAAACAATTACCCGTTACTAAAAGCTAAAAAGCTGATATTAATACACCCAGCTGTGTATAATAAAGTTATATATCTGAAGTTATGTTTAGTGCTTAGAAAAATGTCATAACCTACAACTTTTAATATTTTATCAAGGATTAATTGGTAGAAGTGATTCATTTGTTTAACATTTTTATGGTAGACCAATGCAATATATGTGGAAAAACTAAAAGGAGAGGGTTGCATTTCTTTAGAAACTGCAAATAAAAATATAAAACGTCAGCCATGCCCTTTATACCCATCCTATGGAGCCTGAGAGATGCAAATGTGCTGCAAATAAATAAATGCACTGCAGACCAAAAAAATGAGGGCAAAGCAACTTTCTCAATGAAATTAACGGGTTAACCTGGGTTTTTTCAAATATGGCTTGATCGGCTAACAATAGGCATTTGGCTCCTTTCCCACTGGGGAAAAAAGCTGGATCTAACGCCCGCTGGCAAGCTGCGTGGCCTCAGTCACACCCATCCCCCCATCCTGAAAATGTTCCTGACCACCTGGGAGGTCGACCACCTACTCGCATTGGACCAGAACCTCAGTCAAGACATAAATGTAATGCCTATTGCCCAGAGGACATTATGAGGGAAGGAAGACAATATGTGTTCTGCTAAGTCTGTTTTAAGGTTAGAATCTCTCTGACCATCTTGTTACTCATGAGTCACACAGTGACACAACTAAAAAAAGTATAAATAGACATAGTTTTTTCCCCAATCTGGCTGAGTTTGAACAATTATTGAAAGAACCGCAGGACAAATTTTCAGTTCCTAAATGTTTAAAGATCATAGAAACATACTGAGAAGACTGTAACAGCAGTAAAAATGGATCCCACAAATTAACTCTGAGGGCCAATTACAAATGTCACAGTTTTTTAGGTGTGTATAAGTAAGAAAAAAGAAATATTCTTAAAAAAAATCATTCTAATTTCACTTCACGGTTCTAAGATCATTTCAGTATTTCGGCCACATGAAAAACATGGTAAACAGATAATACATTAACATTCATCAAACTCTCTGTTATCATGTAAAATTATAAATACAGTTAAACTAAGTGAGAACTTCATTGTTATGATTATATCTAATAAATCCATTCAAACTGACCTAATGTATCCAGTCTCTTTTTAAGGGAACGGTTAATATATTAAGCTCACAGAAATGAATCCAATCAGCTCCAGATTTTAACCTTTTAGGTATAGTGTAGATTACACCATCTAAACTATAATCCACAGCAGAATGATTTTCCTCCCTCATGTTGCCCATAGGGATTTATTTCTGACAAGTTGTACTTCCAGCCTTTGTCCGCTAGAGGGCGGTGTTGATTTTTGTTTTGGAGGATCTCTTTTAAATTTAGTTTGTAGTATTAGGATTATCTTTTAAAACGTTAGTGTTGATCTTAGGCTGAAAATTGATAGATAACAGATAGAAAATATCAGAAAACTAATTATGTGAAAATAAACACTGTTTTTCACTTTCCTTCACATTTTAATCACACAAGCCAATATGAGCACAAGTTGTGATACAAAGCTGGGCTGAGAACCCAAAACCATCATGACTTATACTGAGTGAATGCCAGCGGTATAATTTGTAGTGCTGACAACAGCAAAACGCCTCTGCCAAAACAAATAATCTGCTAAGCCATGATACTATCAGCGAGTAGCTCTCATGAATCTTTCAATGTCTTTTTTAATGGCTGTTTCTTGAACCATTATGTTTCATATCATTTGCAGAATAATGATAAGAAGAATAAACATCTACAGTAATAAATTAGGGGCTGTTCAATGGCTGTATTTTGATCTTATCTGTACATTTCTACAAAAGGCTGCATTGCTTTCATTTTAATGTCCCATTTTCAGCTATATGCAGGGGCAACTTCATGAAACACACAGTGCATGTTTGTAAATGTTTAATAAATAACAATATAAACATAATTATTCAATATAAAAAAAACAAAAACAAACAAACTTTATATAGCAGACCTGGGTTAAATTGTATCAACAGAATTGTTTTGTTTGCTTTCTCAGCAAGACGGGTTTTCTGTAAGGCAACAGCAAAGAAGAAATGATTACAAGTATTTATACACTGTGTTTCTCTGCCAAAACTTTTACAGGCATGTTACTGTGTTACTGACTCGGCTGCTATTAACAGCAAATATTTTAGCCTCTGCTTTGTAGAAGCTCCAGTCCCTTGAACATGTAAACTAAATCACTGTGTTTTCAGAAGCTGTGGTTTACAGTGCAGCTGTGGTCTGGTCTATAAGCCAGCGTCTTTGTCCAAATCTGGAAGTTAGTACAGTATAATTCTTTTTTCCTCTCATATAAATTGTTGTTGATCGTAAAAAATAATCTATCAAATTGTAAATTGCTGCAGACATGTGGAGTCTGCAGGTATGGGGCTAATTTTATGCGGTTTTGTGGTTTTATTAGGATCTAAATAATAAAAAAAGCTCTTTCAGTGAAAATGCTAGTGGATAAAAATGATCAAACATATTCTGGGTATTTATTGGACTGCTCCATTTCTTTGTTTAGCAGTGCAAGAAAGAATTGGAAGCAAGACAATCTGAAATAACCAAAAGTTAATGTTAGCCTTGTTGTTTTATCAAAAGTGACATTTTGAATATGAGATTAAGGCCTGATAGTGCTACCCAAACTTTTAAATGATTTTACAAATACATTTTTCAAACTACATTTATTGTAATTTGATTTAGTAATATATTGAGGTAATGGATAAAAAACCTCTCTTTCCAAATATCCAACATCTAAAACAGCAAACCGTCCATTATGAAAGGAGAGATTTTTCTTATTCAAATCTTTGTGGTCAATTTCTTTGAATAGTAAAAGTCCTAGTGCTGTGCTTTACATGAATTTCCTGCTACATAACTCAAAGTCAGTTAAGTTAAAAGTCAAATTGCACATTCTTTGGCTGGACTTTCTGGTAGAGAGCTTAATTCCTGGTTCCTTTTCTACAAGTTGATGAGAAACAAAGAAGCCCTCGACCACCAATATTGCCTCCACCGTGTTTAACTATCATGATGTTCTATTTTGGAAACTGTAAAGGGAACAAAGTTTCTGAGAAGTTCCGATTTTGACACTACAGTCCATTAAAAGAAATCTTTGACCATTCTCTTTCCTATTGTTGAATCAAGAATACTGGCCTAGGGAAACTGAGGCTTTCAGAGCTTTAGCTATTTTCTGGGTTCTTCTTTGAACACCATGATGATTCAGCAAAGGGTTTCTTGGAATAATTTAGGTAGGCGGGGATTTCATTCAGTTCACCTGAGTCACAAAGGCTTGGAGATCCTTTTCTAATCCTTTCCAGGCCGATGGATGTTGATGATGTTTCTCATCTCTTTCCTAATTTTGAGACATAGCTTTTTAAGTTAAATCTTCTTTTCAAGTAATTTTTTTCTTTTCCTAGTTGGTCAGAAGACATGGATAGGTGAAGTGAGAATAACCTTATTTAAAAGACTCGTAAATCACATTTACTCATGAGTTAATAAGGAAAAGATTATATATTTAAATGTAATTTGTTTTAAACAATATTATATGTTCATATAGGGACAAGTTATTGTGGATAACTTTTTAAATTAGTAAATCAAAAACAATTTTTTGTTTGGTCATCTTTACACAACGTATGTTTTAACAATACTAGTGTAAAAAAACAAATCCTACAGAAATCTACATGGGGGGGATTCCATTTTTTCATCAAGGCTGTATTTTGCTGAATATGTTAGAATTAAATTTTTTTGTTACTTTCAATTGATGGAATCAGTTTGTACCATAAATATTTTGCCAATAAATTCTTCTAAATGTAGTAGATTTTAAAGAGCACAGGCTATATTGTTTACTAAAAGGAAATTTCGCACTTCAAGTTTTTTCCTTTAGAAACGACATCGTCTAATGCTATATAAATGCAATGAACACTTGCATCTCAAGAAACTGGCTTTTTTTGTGAACCACAGCTGAATGAAACACTTTCACAATTCTGATAATACTTCAGTAATGACAAACTTGTAGGTACTCTTTGACCCAGGTCTGGTGTGAATACATGTAGTCCCAATACTTTGACACATAATATAATAATTTACTTTGTGCAGGCCTTTGGTGATAATTTATTTGCAGGAACATACCTGTTTACATTTTATTGTGTTTGTCTATATTGTGTTCTGAGTGCCAGCCTGTCGGCTCGGTCTTCACTGCCTCCATGATTTGCGGCTGAGCACACACACGCAAGCCACGTTGATGCGTATGAGCCTCCAAGCCACCAGGTTCTTGAATGAAGTCAGTGCTCGAACAAAAGTGTGTGAGTTGGTGCAGTAGGAGTTCCAGTGCCTCCCGTCAATTCCTAAACAGCCTGAGCCTCCAGAGCCAGGGCTGTGACACGTCGTCTCAAAGAAATACTGCTTCTTGTTAACATTATTTATGTTCACATTTGGGAGCACTGTCACCTCATTGCCTGAGATGTCTGTGGCTTTGGTCTTGTTGCCCACCCAGACGCTAACACTCTCACAAACAGAGTACACCCCCCGGTGCTGAGGCTGTCCCGCTCGCCTTCGAGTCCTCCTGCTGATACCATGCTCCCCCGTTGGTTCCACATTGGGGGGCTGTGAGCTGAACCGCACCCTGGGTGAGAGGTAATGACGCTTGCTGAAGAGTTTAGGGTCCACAGTTGGGATGGAGGTTGAGTTTTTCTGTTGATCTGTTGTGGAGCTGCACGAGACCCCTGTGATGGTGGCCAGAGCCTGGGCACTGAAGACGAAAAACAGGACCAGCATGGATGACCTCATGGGCACACGATCTAAAATAACCAATGAGAGAAGAGAAAAAACTGTTAAAACAAAGATAACAAGATTCTATATGGAAGAAAAAACTTGCCGTTGTCGTATTAGACCACCAACTCAGATACTTGTCTTAATCTTTCATTCAGATTTGCATCACCCTATGCATATCTGGCCGTTTTCTTGCAATGGCTCAGAAACAAGTTCAGAAACAAAGCAGGATTATCTTTATATAAAATTAGCACAGTTCTAATAAACCCAACCCATGGTGATAAGGAGCACCTCAGGGTGCAACCTTAAAGGAACCTGTCAAAAAAAGAGATTACTAGTGGTGGCATGGTTCCACTAATCTGCTTTCTTTTTAGCAGATTAGCCTTCTATATACTTATGCTGCTATAGGCTTAGCCTGCTGGAGGACAGGGACCCCTTTTCATCATTATGCCTATTCAATCTCAATTCTTTCATTCTGCAATATTTATCTAGTTCAGCCACTAATTTATACCCTTTTTCGTTTTTCTCCTCATCGTAGCTTCATCTGGTCTCTTCTTGTTTGGCTGTGACACCATCCTGGAGAGAAATATCAACTGTGCTGCTGCCATCAACAACTTTGTATATAGATGTTGGAGTTTTATCTGTTTGTCAGTGTAGTCCTGTTTCTCTTATGTGACTAATTGTATGTCCGATATTCGAGCTCGTCTTCCTGGCTTTGTGTTTACTTGACAGGGTTGACAGTTACCTTTTGTATCTTTGCATCTTTCTGTCTGCTTCTATCTCCTTGAACCCAAGTCGGCATCGGCAAATGGCCGCTCACTCTTAACCTAGTTCTGCTGAAGATTTCTTCCTGTTAAAAGTTAGTTTTTGTCTCCACTGTCGCGACAAGCATGCTTGGTGTGAGGGATTTCTTTGGATTCGATAAGTCGATGCAGTCAGCTAGTTTTCTTTAGATAGAAAACTTTGAACCAATCTGACTGTATGATCTGCTTGAATTGCCACTGTAAAGTGCCTTGAGATGACACGTGTTGTGTATATATGTATCAATTCCATTCAGTTTACTTATAATTCACAACACATGTTATCTCAAGGCACTTTACAGAGGCCATTCATTGTAACTCATTTGGATTTAGAATGATAAACCATGAATTCGTTGTAATTTTAGATTTAAGAAATAGAAACCACAAGTTGTAACAAGTAACTAAAAGTTTGTGTAACGTGCTGGTAAATAAATGGGTCTCTTGTTCTCTTAGCTATGGTGGTTTGATATTATCTGCTAAAATAATAATATCACTTGATCATGCCTGTTGTAACATTCCACACTACAAAGTCAGCAACTGAAAATACAAGATTTGAGCTAATATCATATCAGATTAGTATTAGCAAGAGGATGTTAACAGACAAAATCTATGCTACCTGAGTGAGTGTGACCTATTTTGCCAGAGGATGAGGAAATAATTTAATTCCTAGATATATAAAGCTAGTAGAGACTTACCCCAAAGGACTAACATCTGAAGTTTAACCAAGAAGTCTGCGTAAGGATTACTAAGGGGGCTTAACTTTTGACAGAAGGCCACAGATGACTTTCTTTTTGTCCCAATATGTGCTACTTAGGTATCCAATAATTATCCTTTGAGAATAGACTTTAAAATTCATCTGTTACTCTATAAATCATTGGCAAGTCTAGTACTAAAATTCAGTTCTGACATGTTGTCAGAACTAAACATGGAGAAGCAGCATTTAGTTCTTCTGCTCCACTATTCAAGAACAAACTTATAGGAGTCTTGCAACGTCCCAAACTGGAATCATCCCTGCAGGAGGAGCCAGTGTTGCAGTGTGCCATTTAAAAGTGTACAGTCAGAGAGGACGCTTTCTGACAAAGCCGTGAGTTACCACATCAAATGGAGCCCCTCAGATTCAGTTTGTTTTTGGAACAGACTCATTGAAATCTCCCCCAAGAGCTTTGAAAATGAACTGGTTCTGGACTTGCATCCAACAAAATTTCAGAAGACTGTAAAAGGGCTGAAACCCAAATTTGCTTACATAATAGTTACACCACATATTCAATGTTGTCTTTCATTGATTTACTTAAACTTTTCTCTAAAATATCATCAGATTAATTTTATAGATCAACTTTTCTTTACCTGCTACCATTACTCCACTGTAACGTCCTTCCCTCTCTGTGTTTCCTTTTCTTATGTTCTGTTCACATACGGACTTTTATATGGTCTCGTTATTGAAATGTGCAAAACAAAATCCTCTCTTTCCTTGTCTCACTATGTCTTTTTTTATTAAAGAATATTGAAATATTTATCACAGGTTTAGGTTGTTTTCAAACAGTTAAAGGTTTAAACACTTTTGCAATAAATATTAAGAAGCAAATAGATAAAATGTATTTAATATGTTGAAAAGGAAATAAATTGAGAACTTATGAGAATATATTGAGAGTTTTACAAGAGCCAATTTAAGATGTTTTCACATCTAGGTAGAACATTTTTTATGAAATTTTGACCTGATCATTCAACATTTTCCATAGTACCTGTGAATTGTGCAAAGAAAGACATGGAAGCAGAATAATTATTCAAATTAATGTCCAAAGCCTTGACAGGGCTCTATTTATGTAGCCTTCTATTGAAGTGGGTTTTGCTTTGAATTGTGGGGCTAAGTATGCATCATAAGCAAAACAATATTGTCTCTTGGTAAAAGTTTGAATAAGCTGAATAAAGCCTTGAAAACTGCAGAATTAGTTTAACAGTAGCATGGGGGAAAAAATTATTGCAGTTACCCTTATACAGCCTCTAAATTATCCCAAAGTATCTGTGAGATGAGCAGGACAAACCGTTCTAATCCAGGCCCCCTTCACACAATTTAAAGAAGGATTAAAGATTTTTTTGCAGTGTTTTAACTGCACAGATTAGGATTGGTTTTCACAGCAAAAGGACAACTTCTCCTACAATGGGCAGGTTTCTGTAATTATTTCACATAGCAGGCTGTGATTTGTAAAGCATTGCCTGGGGGACCAATAGGTGGAGTATGGGATCAAGCATTAAACCATTCAGGATCATTAGCAATAAAAAAAAAACAAAAACATTTGTCACATGATGGTGTTATCAGTTATTGCGTAAAAAATGACGGCGAATTCCTAACCGGCCTTTGGACCCCGATGGTTTTAGAAACCAAAATAAACATGAATGGACATTTTGTTCAGTTACATTTTTTCCCCAGATAAAAAGTAGAAGCAATAAACACTATGACTTGACTTCAGAGGTTTACATGTAATTTTGATATAAATAACTAGAAATGAGTAACACATTCTTTAATGAAGGGAAAGTAGCTGCAACTATTACATTTCGGTACATTGTTTAATTTCTACTTCATCTGTTAATCATAATTTTTTGTCACCACGTAACAGAATCTCTGTACTTTCAGTATTGAATAAACTGGCAAGCAGTGTATTGTATTTAAAGCTGGCTTGTTTAAACCTGCGGTGGCTCTGCTGCAACCAGAATCTGTCAGCTAACCTGCCTATTAAATGCTGTGTTTGCCTCAGGTGTCAGGATGAGGGCTGCTGTATAGAAGCTGTTGGCACAACAAACGAACAGGAAAATTCACTGCCTCTAGACTAGGACATAATGGGAGCTATATGACACTGAGCCAAGATACACCCAGCTTGTAAGCTTTGTTCAACTCTAACTTATAGAGTCTCAGCCCTCGGATCTCGTCTTAGTCCCTCTGTTTGGTTCCAGGCATGAGAGAAATAATTGCATTTCATGGCTTTTATTTGAGTATAATTGCCATAACTATTGCTAACAAATTGGATCTAGATAAAATTAGTTTTTGTCTGAACTTCTATGATTTAATTTTAACTAAAAAGGGAAAGGATCATGATGAAACTCAAATGATTCTACAGCTCAAACTCAAGACTACAAGTTGAACAAACTCAAAACATATTCTATGTTATTCATTTCAATTGATATTAAAAATATAAATATTAGCTCTAAAGTTCATACTGTTATGATTTGTTTATCATCTTCAAAAATGACCATTTGAAAAAAGTATTTTTAGAAGAATCTGTAGTAAAGGTTCAATGTGTATTTCACTTGTATTCCAGAGCAGCCCTTTGAGCAATAAATACAATCATAACTTCATGTTCTGCATGTACAACAAGACAAATATTGAATACTAGTAAAATCTCTATAATCTCTAAATTAAGGTCTATAGATATCAATGATAATTTGCAATCGGTTGTATCCTTAATAGAAATCGTATTTAATCCGGGAGGAATGGGACAAGGGATGGGTCACCCACACCCTGGATGACACACACCCTGGATGCATATGTTACCACCTCATTAAAGGGCAAAGACAAAGAGCTTTTTACACTTTCATGCATATGGCTATGATTTATAATCACTTATCATCTTGCAAATCCCACCCAGAGGAAGATGGAGCATTTAGAGAAAATCCCTGTAGGCACAAAGAAAACATGCCTGGTCCAAACTCCACATGCTCTTAAATTTAAGGAGTACATGAAGTTCAGCTTTATGAGCAAAGGGGCAGGCCTTATTGTTACAACATGTTTTACAATCAATATATTTTTAGAAAAAGATGTGCTTTTAATAAACATTGAAGTAAACAACTGCCAATGTGACACAATTTGTTTAAACTATTTTTATTGTATATGTTTCCTAAACATCATAAGAGGCTGCTATTTATGATATTTTACATGTAAGGGTTAAAATAGATATTTTTTAAATTTATGTAACAATAGAAAACTAGATCAGATTGTGCTATACAGCCTATACAGCAAAAATGCTAAATAATCTTATGTGGTTGTGGCTTTAGTCAAAAACAAAATCCGATTGTAAAGTAAAAGAAAAGGGACAATTTTATTTATGCCAGAAATATAAACACATATTAGCATATTTCCATACCTTACCTTTCAGTGTCTGTGTGAACTGTTTCACCTCAGAGGCTCCTACAGAACGTAATTATAGCTCTTTGAGATCTTGGCGCCTCCTGCCATAAGGCCTGGCCGTGGCCCCATGCAGCACACTTCTGCCCTGCTATGCCTCGGCTCTTCAGCCCTGTTCAGAGACAAGCCGAGAAAGTGTTTTACAGTCGCCTCATAAACCCTACTGTAAACACATTCTTTGGAAGACCGATGCGGGAAAAGAAAGTTCAAATGTTTTGTCGTTTTCATCAGATCATCAAATCTGAAAATACCAACATAATGAGGTAGATCTGCACGATAAAGATTATGTAGAATAAGATTATAATGTGCATTTTTTGTGCATATTTTTTAAGCATTCTGACATTTTTGTCTGGATTTTAAAATTCAAATGCAATCAAAGACAGATATTTGGAATAATAATTCAGCTTTGAAGCTTAGAAAGTAGAAACCAGAGAATTTATTAATCTTTTATCTATATCATGATCATATCTAATGAAAACTGATACTTAATGGGTCTGAATTAATTCTGAAACAGAATTTTTCCAAATTTAGGTTCAAGATTTGCAATTTAGTGGCTACCAATATAATACACATAGAAAGTAAATACAATACAGTACAGATATAAGTACAACACGATACATAGAAGGCTTGGAAGTGGATAATGTAGAAGAAAGGACAAAATCATATGGAGGGGGCTAGCACTCTGCACTTAAGGATAATATGTTTCTTGTTTCAGTTTTATTTTTTATTATATTGGGAAGCTTAGTTAATCAATAGGTCATTCAGATCAAGCGTAAAACCAATAAATTATTATTTGTAAAATAATTATAAATGACATTTGCTTACTCACCAAGACTTTTTAGTCTTTTACCCAAGTTTGGACTTCTTGACTGACTGTTACAATCCTATTGTCTTTCACCAGTTTAATAATTTAGACTATGTTTGTCAGCAGAGTTATTAATCACCAACCAAACGAAATTATCTCCGTTACTTTAAGTGTTGACCAAAAGGGGGCTTTCATCGCATAAATAACCACAGATGACCACAGGTTAAAAATATTTGTACCTTCATTGGCTTATAATAGTCATTACAGTATTATTGTGTTTAACAACTAAGCAAACACTACAAATTTCTGAAAATAAGCACAAGGTAAATGAAAAGCTAATAAAAGGGGAAAGGGGGCTCTAATGCTTTGTTCATGTCGCACGGAATTTAAGCAGCAGAAGCAGCTGGTTTACATGCAAAGTCAATGGTTGATGTGCATCAAGGCACATCAAAAGGTACTGCACGGCATTTCGAGCAGCAGCATATCTACGCATCTGAGCAGCTGAAGCAGCGCCTCATGAGCTTCTGAGAATCTGATGAAAGTGACGCACAAGCAGCAGCTGATGGAGTTGGAAATATGTAACTTTTGAGGCTCGATGCACCAAATCAACCAATCAGAGAAGCTGATGTAGGAGCTGGCAGGGAGACAGACACAGCAGTGCTGATGCAGATATCTATGATCACTCCACTGAAACATTTTATTAATGTCTAAAAACACTGCGTTCAAGTGACCCACCTCTTTCAAAACGGCATTTAAAAATGCTAACATCTACTTCCAGCGACAAACAGTAGCGGAAACTCCCCAGCCTCCGACAGCAGAGTAATATTTTAAGGCAGCATCGTAACCTTGATGAACTGGCTGCACAGAGGATGTTTTGATGTGGACTTTTTCACTTAGAAAATATATTGAAACTACCTTTTACCCACTTATCACAACACATATATCAAAGCTGCTCTCTGCATTGAACACAGGAGCTGCACAAGCATCAGATGCATCTGGACGCACTTTACTGGACACACTTCAGGAGCATCGAATATGCTTTTGAGGCAAATTTGACCAGCACAATTTTCAAAAATGAAGCAGCAGGCGCATGTGGTGTGAACGTAGCAAGTTAGAGTCCATTCAGAGTAAGGAATCCTCAAGTTTTTAGGATTGGTGCATGACACCAAGGACATTTAAGACGCCCTTTGAAATAGATAAGCAGATAAATGGGAATGACAACTGATACAGAGATCTTGCAATCGAAAGAGTGAAGCTTCATCTGATTTTAGAGTGAAAAATGAACCACGACTAACTAGCCAATCCAACCGTAGCACCCTAACTCATCAGACACGCAAAAATAAACAGAGACAAAAACACACAGTGCTGATCTTTCAGTCGGGTCAGTGAGCATTAGAATTCAGTTCAGAATCTTAAAAACGTAAAAACCATCAGCTGTTGAATTAAAAAGCCTTTTTTCAGATAAAACACAAAACACAAGATGTGCAAAAATACTATTCTAATATTACCCTAGCCCAGGGTAACCAGTAGGCATCAGAAAAAAAGGGGAAATGGGGTTACTGTGTGTTGGCTCGGAGGGGAGGATTCATAGTTATTCCAAAAAAGTTAAAACACAATCCACTGGACTTCGCTTCCCCTCCAGGGAGCTTTTTCAATTCAAAATGTCAGAATTGGCATTGAGTTTGAAGCTTTATATAGTACTTCTCATCACGATTACTATATAAAGTTTCATACTCAGCTCTAATTCTGACATTTTGAATTGAAAAACCTTCCTGGATAGGAAGTGAAACATCTTCAAACTTGGAAAAACCAAGTCCAATAGATTTTTTTTTAACTTTTATGTAATTTTTTCTCAGCTGCTTCATCAGGAGGGTTGGTGATGAAAAACATTACGTTCAACTTGATTGTCCAATTCTCTCTGAATCGTAATGTAGCTTCAGCTGAAGACTGGTGTGTCACGCCTATCAGACCCAAGGGGCCAAATGGGAAAGAAGAAGCAAAGCGGAAGGCAACTGCTTAAGTAATCTCTGTCACAGGGATTTGATGTCACGCAGGAGTCACTCCGCTTACATCATTTGATATTTGATCTCCAACATGGTGCAATATCCACAATACGAAAGAGGTGTGAAACTAAGCTCAAATATTTTGAAATAACCAACTTGGCGAATCATGCTACACTAGTTCACACACTGAGCAAAGAAAAACAGCCTAACATATCTACTTCCATCAGCCAGACAACTATGATAGAAAGAGTGCCAAAGTTTCCTCTTTATAGTGCAGCATAACTCCTAACTTGAAAAAGGCCAAGCAAATGTCAAAGCCCCATTTTACTGCTAAGGATTTCTGACCATAAACAGCAAAATTGAGAGCCTGGGCTTTAAGGGCCGTGGAGGATCCTCTCAATATAAATTCACCTCTCAAAGATTTTCACCATATCAATGATCTCCATATTTAACAATGTGGCCACAGCAAAGTGAATGGAAACAGAAATACACTTTCCACTATTTACCACCAAAGTTTACATAAAAAGATCATAACATTTATGATCCAATCCATAAAAAGATTTGTTCTATACAAATAGCTATTTTTTTAAAATCATTGATGTAATGTCTTATGAAACAAGTAGCACGCTTGCAAAATGAAAGGAATGTAAGCCACATGTAAACAGCTGTTAATCTAGATGACTGTGCTGTACTCCTGTGCAGAATCCACATCAGCACACAGGAAGTGTTCAACAAATTAAACAAAGGTGGTCTCTGGATGTCAGGGGGTTTAAAGGGTGCATGTTTCAGTGGACAATTGTTCTCATTCATTTGCCGTTTTTTTTGTGCTTCATGGTGACATTTCTTTTAGTGGATACTTTAAAAAATGCCCTAAAACTGGAGGAAAAATCACTGCTCTAATAAATCCCTCAGCAGCAATTTATGTCATGATATATGTGCTTAAAATACATTTTTAGACTGGTCTTTTCTCCTGAATCCTACAGCAGCTTTTTTAATTGGCCCTTGAGATGCTTGGGCTCAATCGTGCATAAATCTATCTAATGCGCATAAGTAATAGGGAACAGACCTAAGCTCATAATATAAAAATGGTTTTATAATGAATAGCATGCTTTGATGATTGGATACCTGCTTTAGGAAATAAAATACTCTACAGGAAGACTAGTATTATGTATGAATAAAGACAAGCTGTGTGAGAAAAAAACCCAAAACATTTAAAAAGTAAGGCAAAGTTTAAGTGGGAAAAAAATATCACCCAGGACTGTATAAAGAGAGAATTGGTTGATTGAGAACTAAATTAGTAAAGGAGCCAGGGAGAAAAGAGCATCAAAAACAAACAAATAAAGCAAAATCTCAAGAACAAATGCAACAGCTTGATGTAAAACATAATTTATATGAAGCTGCAGCTTCATGAATGCTCATGAAGCTGCACTCCATTCCAAAATAAAATATATATTTGACCATCAATATATGTGAACTGAATAGCTAAGAAAGCTAGTAACCCAGAATTGGAAATGATCCAACCAAGAGAATATAAAAATAACACATTCAGAAGCAATGATTGTGAAGGTACAATCAAGAAAAGAAAAAAAATTATCTGCTCATTTCTCCTTATTCTCTTTTTGAATGAAGAAAAAATAAATTCAATACGTATAATGAGATTAGATCACACATTTTGGCTAAAAGGGAGGAGTAATCCTAAAAACACATATTCAAAAAGAATTTATTTTTCCTTACGATGCTCGATGGATAGCACAGAGAAACCAAACTTGAAGAAATACAAAAAAAACTAAAAGAAAACCGGACCTACAGCATGCTTGTCAAGCTCTACCTTTATTTAGAAATTATTATTAAGTTATTTGATGACTGCTGCTTAATTAGCTGTTACCTTCCAGTTTTTTTTTTTTTTTTACAAAACTGTCATGTCCAAATAAGCAGCTTTTGATGGTTTATTGTTGCTGAATTTTATGCCTTTTATGTGTTTTCTGTGCTTTGACAGATTAGCCCAAGATTTTTTTGAAAAAAAAAAAAAAAAAAAATAATAATAATAATAATAAATTAGGCCAAAAATCTTTTTGCTTTTGGTTTATTCTGTAACTACCTCATGCCCATCAGTTACATTAAGAGACAAGTAACCCATAACTGCCAACCCAAAACACATTAACTCTAATGGAGTTTGTTAAATGAACCCTGGCTGAGATGACTGACAAAATGCCAAGCTACACAATCCAGTTCATGAACAATCTATTTGATAAAAAATGAAAAGAAAAACAACAGGATGCATTCATTCATATGGTAAAAGTCTCA